TCAAGGGAGGTGATGCCACTGCTCCTCGCCTACCTGAAGTCGGTGCCTCTTGGACACACACACCACCTAGCCAAGGCCTGCTATGCCCTGGAGAATTTCGTGGAGAACTTAGGTAGTGATGGCAGTGGGGAGCTTGGGGGAGGGGGATGAGGCAGCGGCTTTGGCTGAATGTGCAGGATGTGCATCTCCTTGCATTGCTGCCTATGGTGGGGGAAAGTGTGTGATGGCACCACAAAGGGGTTTCCGCCTGGAGGGAGGTGGGCATGCAGGTAGGAGATCTGGGTTGGTTGATAGAGGAGCATCCTTTCCCACAGGGCCCAAAGTGCAGCCCTACCTTCCGGAGCTTATGGAATGCATGCTGCAGCCTCTGAGGAGCCCCAGCAGTCCCCGGGCCAAGGAGCTGGCTGTGAGCGCCCTAGGAGCCATTGGTGAGGAGAGGCAGGAGGCAGGGATGTGGGGTTCACCCAAAGGCCCTGTGGCTGGTGGTCCCTGCTCTTTCCAGCTCTGATTCTGTCCTTCCATCCTGCAGCTACAGCTGCCCAGGCCTCGCTGCTGCCCTACTTCCCTGCCATCATGGAGCACCTGCGGGAATTCCTGTTAACAGGCCGTGAGGACCTTCAGCCTGTGCAGATCCAGAGCCTGGGTGAGTGAGAGGCTCCCAGGTGGGGATCCCAGTGCCAGCAAAGGGCCGATGCTCACCTGGTGTTGACAGAGATTGCCCCCACGGGAGCACGGATGTCTTCCTTCTCATCAAAGGGGGTGTTCTTCACCCTGTACCAAGGGGTAGGGGGGGATTTCTGAATCCCTCCCAGCTACCACCTTTGGTCCTATAGCCCACCTCCACCTCCTGGTGCTAATGGAGCCCTTGCTCCCACAGAGACACTGGGAGTGCTGGCACGAGCGGTGGGGGAGCCCATGAGGCCGCTGGCTGAGGAATGCTGCCAGCTGGGTCTGGGCCTCTGCAACCAGGTAGACGACCCTGACTTGCGGCGCTGCACGTGAGTGATCCCTCACCCTGCCTCTGCCCTTGTCCCCACCCCTCCTTTCTGCCCACTGGACCCACTGGAATCCCCACCCCAGACGCTAGTCCTCTGGTTCGGACCATAGCCAGGTGTTCCCGGGCTCCCCCATCCTGTCTGGTGGTAGCAAGCAGGACCATACAGCTTCTTCTGCCTGCTTTGACCAGGTACAGCCTATTTGCCGCCTTATCGGGTCTGATGGGCGAGGGCCTGGCACCCCACTTGGAACAGATCACCACGCTCATGCTACTGTCACTGCGTTCTACCGAGGGCATTGTGGTGAGCAGAGGGTGGGCTGGGCCAGGCCAGCCCTGCAATGGGATTTATCTCCTGGGCCTAGCTGAGCCAAAGTCCTTGCCATGCCTCCACTCCAGCCTCAGTATGACGGGAGCAGCTCCTTCCTTCTGTTTGACGATGAGAGTGATGGGGAAGAAGAGGAGGAGCTCATGGATGAGGATGTGGAAGAAGAGGATGACTCAGAGATCTCAGGGTGCGGAGGGGTGCTCTTCTGATCAGGAATCTAGACTTTGGTTTTAGACCAGGGGACTAGTGCTGGATCTGCTCCTCTTGGTGCCTGATCACCACTGCCTCCCCATCTTACTCTAGGTACAGCGTGGAGAACGCCTTCTTCGATGAGAAGGAAGACACCTGTGCTGCCCTAGGGGAGATCTCTGTGAACACCAGGTGAGCATTCGCCCTTCCCTGGCACTGAAAACCCTGCCTGGGGGCCCCTTACCCATGACTGTGTCTCTCTCTGTAGTGTGGCCTTCCTTCCATACATGGAAAGTGTCTTTGAAGAAGTATTTAAACTGCTGGAGGTGAGGGGGCCAGTGGGTAGAGTGGGTGGGGTTCTCAGGCTGGGGGCCCTGTGTTCACAGTGCACACAGCAGACACATCCCGCCCCTCCTCATCTTGCAGTGCCCTCACCTGAATGTGCGGAAGGCAGCCCATGAGGCTCTGGGTCAGTTTTGCTGTGCACTGCACAAGGCCTGTCAAAGCTGCCCCTCAGAACCCAACACTGCTGGTGAGAAAGAGAGGCTGGGCCAGGCTGAGGGTTCTTGGGGCACGGCAGGGCCTGACCAGTGCTTCAGCCAATAATGTCCCCAGCTTTGCAGGCTGCCCTGGCCCGAGTGGTGCCATCCTACATGCATTCAGTGAACAGGGAGCGGGAGCGCCAGGTGGTGATGGCCGTGCTGGAGGCCCTGACAGGGGTGCTCCGCAGCTGTGGGACCCTCACTCTGAAGCCCCCTGGGCGCCTGGCTGAGCTCTGTAGCATGCTCAAGGCTGTGCTGCAGAGGAAGGTGAGCAGGGCAGGTGGGCTTCGGGAAGGAGAGGTGCCGGGCCCAGGTTGGGGACTGCCTACAAGTCCACCCCCATACCCCGATGAAAAGAGAAGGGGCATGAAAGCTCTGGCTAAGTTGAGCTACTTCTTCTTGTAGACAGCCTGTCAGGATACTGACGAGGAGGAGGAAGAGGAAGATGATGATCAGGTGAGTGCCAGGGATGAAAACGGACCAGGTGGTCCAGGCAGTCTCCACAGGGACAGGGGTGGACAGTGTATTTGTTCTTGGCCTGGGGCAGCCAGGGCCACTAAAAGAGATTGGTAATGGTCAGAGAGACACAACCCTGATCCCATTAAGCCAGTGGGAGTTCAGGGAAGGAGAGCAGTGTGGACTGGGGTGTGCTTAGAGCGATAGGCAGGAGCAGAAGAGCTAGGGGAAGAAGCTGGGCCATGAAAACACCCAGTCTGAGAGGGACCAGCCCTATCAACCAAGGGCAGCCCCAGGGACCCCTGCAGCTGGTAGCAGAGCATGGTAGGGAGGCGTGCAGTCACTGAGCTGGCCCTGGTGCTCCAGCCCCTGACCTGGCTCCACAGGCTGAATACGACGCCATGTTGCTGGAGCATGCTGGAGAGGCCATCCCTGCCCTGGCAGCCGCGGCTGGGGGAGACTCCTTTGCCCCATTCTTTGCTGGTTTCCTGCCATTATTGGTGTGCAAGACAGTGAGTGTCCATCTTCTGGCTTCAAGCCCTAGTCCCCTCATGCACCCAGTGCCCACCTCAGCCTTTATCCTTGGCCCAGGCTGATCTGTACTCCTTCCTGTTCTCCCCCATCAGAAACAGGGCTGCACAGTGGCAGAGAAGTCCTTTGCAGTGGGGACCTTGGCAGAGACTATTCAGGGCCTGGGTGCTGCCTCAGCCCAATTTGTGTCTCGGCTGCTCCCTGTGCTGTTGAGCACCACCCGAGAGGCAGACCCTGAGGTGCGAAGCAATGCCATCTTTGGGCTGGGTGTGCTAGCAGAGCACGGGGGCCACCCTGCCCAGGAGTATCCTTGGCTCACAGGAAGGGAGGGACTGGGGGTTGGGGGAGTGTCCCCAGGGCTTGCAGGTGGGCAAGGTCTACCTGAGTGTGTGGCCATTCCTTGACTGTGGATCAGACACTTCCCCAAGCTGCTGGGGCTCCTTTTTCCCCTCCTGGCGCGGGAGAGACACGATCGTGTCCGTGACAACATCTGTGGGGCACTTGCCCGTCTGTTGATGGCCAGTCCCACCAGGAAACCAGAGCCCCAGGTGAGGGAGGGAGACATCAGGCAGAGCCTGGAAGCTGAGGTGGGAGGGTGGTGGAGGGCAGGGCAGGTTGGCCTGAGACATTTGTGTGCCCAGGTGCTGGCTGCCCTACTGCATGCCCTGCCACTGAAGAAGGACTTGGAGGAGTGGGTCACCATTGGGCGCCTCTTCAGCTTCCTGTACCAGAGCAGCCCTGACCAGGTAACCTTGTGGCTGGCAGCCCTCAGAGGGGAGCATGCCGCTCCACTCAGTGACAGGCACTGTCTGCTGATGAGGCTCAGGAGCTCCAGGCTGTCGGTTGCACCTGATGCAAGGTGACAGTTTCAGCTGTTCTTTTGATACTCCCTGCACCATTTCTTATTTGTCTGCAAGGATTGGCAGCCAGTCCTGTGATGGGACAGGAAGGACTTCCTCCACGTAGCATTTTTCTGGAGGAAGCTCCATTTCTACCCTTTGGTCTGAGCCAGAAGTTGCAGTTTTCCCAGGCTGGTTTCCTAAACCAGGGCCCTTTCAAACTGTGCTCTGTGGAGCTCTGGGTACCTCTGGGCCACCACACCATACATTTCAATTAGATCAGCTCTGCTCTCTGAAGAGATTTTGGCTGTACCAAGTAGCTAGGTTTGGAGTCATGTCAGAGTGTTTGTGTCATCCTTGTCTTACACCTTTAGAGATTGTTGTGTAGGTGGAGCTCCTGGGTGTCTGGGTTTCTTTAGGTCTTGAGGCTATGACTTTAATCATCATGTTCCACATCCCCCATTCCCTCCAAAAAAAGTCATTACCACCAAGTTTCACTGGTCCTGCTCATGTTCATAGTTGTCTTGGATGCCTGTGAATCAGTACCAGGTGCAACCACCCCAATAAGAGACTCTGCCACTCCTTGGTCCTGACCACCCGCCTAGACCTGGGGTCCGGGGCTGCTGCCCTGAGTCAGCCACTCTTTCCTCACAGGTTGTAGATGTGGCTCCAGAGCTCTTGCGTATCTGCAGCCTCATTCTGGCTGACAACAAGATCCCACCAGGTGAGGATAGGAGTCACGGGCAGGGGCCTGGGGGAGGCTGGGAGTGGCAGGGCTCAGAGGACCTGGGGCAGCGAGGCTTTAGGAGCCCCAACCTTTCTCCCTCCCTCTGCACCCAGACACCAAGGCCGCACTGTTGCTGCTCCTGACATTCCTGGCCGAACAGCACGCCGACAGCTTCCAGGCAGCTCTGGGCTCACTGCCTGTTGACAAGGCTCAGGAGCTCCAGGCTGTGCTGGGCCTCTCCTAGATCGCAGGCTGCAGCCAGTCCAGAGAGAACAGAGCCTGCCCAGGCCTTAAGACCACCTCTCAGCCCAGTTCAGTTCTGCCTTACCAAAGATTCTGGGACTCATAGCCATTTGGCGCCAGCCCTACTTGCTGCCTTACAGGGCTGTCCCTGAGGCTGGATCTGTTACAAATGAGTCATGACATCATACTGTAATAAAAGCAGCTTGTTTTCTGCTTGAACAATAGCTCTGAGAGCAAGAAGGCTGGAAATGCACATTCAGAAATGAAGTAAGCAAGACCCAATGAGCCATGACATGGTTTACTAGAAGTGGCCGGTTTCCTGGCAGCTTTGTAAATGGACTCTAACCTTGGTGGAATCTGGGCCCCGGCTGGATCAGGAGGCGACCATATGGCTTTTCTTGTTCCACGCGAAGAATCTGTTGCGCTGAGAGCACTGGTCAAGAGGGGAGGAGAGGGCAGGTTGGGGGAGTCCCTGTATGGGCCTCTGGTCTGTGTGTCCCTGCGCCACATACACACACACACATGCATACACTCACCCAGGAGCATGTAGAAGACCCGAGCGGCCATCCTGCGGGGGCTGAGGGGTGACACCAGGCTGCTGAAGTCGGGCTCCCTGTTGGCCTGCAGCTCCAGTGCCACTGCCCTATAGGGACCAAGAACCATTAGCAGAGGCTTCAACCCGGGTCCACCCCATCAAGGTGCCACCCCCCTGGTACCTGTGCACAGCTTCCAGTGAGAGCAGCTCGAGCTCTGGGGGCAGCACCAAAGGCATCTCCATGGGCACCTCAGGGAGTTCAGGCACCACGGGCAATGCAGGAGGTTCTGGCTGTTCCACCTCAGCCCAGGCCCTAGGAGAACATGGGAGTAAGAGCAGGGAAGGTGGCAGCTGTGACAGTGACAAGGGGCATACCCATCCCAGTAGCCATTTCTACCACCTGGCCAAAGGCTGTGGGCCCTGGCTCCCATGGAGCCTGGCTGCTTACCACCGTTCTTCTGGTGGAATGAGGCTGATGCGGGACTTCTCCTCTTCAGCTGCCTCTAGGGAGAGCTCTGTTCGGGGAGGAAAGGCACTGGTGGGTGTCTGCTTGGGTGATAGTTAGGGCCTTGTGGCCACCTGGTATAAGTAGATGGCAGAGCTATGCAGTGACTTGTTAAAAGCACACAGGTGAGAGAGCAGAGGAGGAGCAGTCCGTGCTTGCTTATGTCACACACACACGCCTTCACTCATGAAATAGCTTGAGCAGTTGGGATACTAGTTTCCTGGGACAGTGGTAAGGGTGCTGGTCCCACTGCCCCTCTTCTCTAGGTGTTTACCTGAAGACAGCATAAGGGGAACACTGGGCTCCAGGGCCTCCCTCGGGACCTGGGGACAGGAGAAGCAGAACTAAGACCCCAAGCATCTGGGACTCCGGCCTCAGAAGGCACAAAGCCAGTGAGCCTGTGCTGTTGGCCCTCATAGCAGGGGAGGGCAGCCAGTTGGTCAGGCAGACCCTGGCACTGGGGCAATGCAGGCAACAGGTGGTGCAGTTACCTCGATCTCACTCGGAACTTCAGCCTTTCTCCTTTCCTCCTCAGCAGCCTCCTCGGGCAGCTCTCGCCTGAGTGCTCTTGGGGGTGGCTGGGCACAGCGAGTCCAGAGACCCAGTAGTTCAAGGGGTAGCCAGCCAGCTGTGGACAAGAAGGCAGTAGGCACAGGGTTTGAGGCGTGAGGAGCACTAGGAATGAGAAATTGGTTTTGAGGATCCTTTGTGCCCATCCCCCGCCATTCTTACAGAGAGTTGGGGTTCTGAACAACTCTGCAGGGCCTGTGATGGTCCTCTCAGGAGGCTGCACCTTGGGCTGTGTGGTGGGGAAAGGTCAGAAGCCTCATTATGAAGCAGCCACTCCTCAGGTCCCCTTTGCCTCTTTGCAATGCATTGTTCTGGGGCTTCTGGACTTCCCCAGCTTTTGGGCTCGTGACCCTGCCTGCCCTGCTCATTGCTAAAAGAAGGACTTTTTAACCTGGTGCCCATGGGTATGACAGTTGGGGTCACTAAAGGACCATGAAGAGTTGTACATGTGCAAACCCACATCGCCTGCATTTTCTGGAGAAAGGAGGGGATTTTTCATCAAGTTCCCAATCCTACCCCCAACCTCCTGAGGAATTTAGAAGGCTCAGCCTGCATGTGCCCCTGGTATCCCTGCCTCCTTCCCTCTGCCCGCAAAGCCTGGGCTGTACTCACACATTCCCAGCAGTGGGCTCTGGTTTGCAGTTGTTCCCGGAATTTCTCCCGGGAGATCTGAGTCTCCTTGTCCCAGAACAGTAACCGGCGACGACGGCGGCGAGGAGGTGGGAAGACTGGGGGCCGCCTCCGCTGAGTGGGGAGGGCAGGTAGGGGCAAGGCTGCCCATTACTCTTTTTCCTGTCATTCTGGTGGACTGCTAACAGGGCCCCACACCCCGCCCCTAGAGGAACCTGGGGAAAGGGCTTGTGTGGGGTCTTCATGCACTTGAGCAGCTCATATCTTGCATAAGTGTACCCATCTGGAAAGTGCAGGCCAGACACAATGGGGTGTAGAAAGGGACATCTTTTATCATCTGCACTAAGGACCCCTGTAAGCTAGCAGTGGCCCTGGACTTGGGGAGGCAGCCCTGGTGGGGGAGGGCAAAGAGGAGGAGGAGGAGGATTGGAAGGGATGCTACTCACCTCTGGGCTGGGTGGGGCTGGCAGACGCAGTTCCTCTGGGGGGGTCACTTCTGCAACAACACCCAAGGTTGTGGCTCTGTCCCATAAGCCCCTTACCCCTTGCAGATACCAGGGCAAGAAACTGCAGGGTCCTCCCTTTAGCGAGTTGGGATATAGAGCCCTTGTCTGCAGCAGTATAGAAGTACTCCCAGAAAAGCCCCTGGGGCGTGGCGGGCACTCACCCATGAGTAGGGCCCCAGGCTCCCAGCCTGTCGGCCTCAGCTCCTCAGGGACCAGGACTGGAAGTGCCTCTGCTATTCCTTCCACCCTGAAGGGAAATGGGCAAGAGAAATGAGAAGACCCTTCCCAGCACCAACACCCTACCTGGTCTAGGAATTCCTGCCCTTACTCTGCAGGAGCTGGAGGTGAGAGCCGGGGGACTACGATTTCACCCTCTGGGACCCGGAGCTCCTCCCTTAGCTCTGTGGAGAGAGAATCAGAGTTCAGAGGATGGAAAAGGAGAAATGGGAACATTGTCCAGTCCCAGACTGCCCACGCCAGGGGTCTGACCATCCAGCTCCAGGCGGGCCCTATGCTGCCAGAGACACCTACTTTCTAACAAGATAGCTTCGTCTTCCTCTGCGATCAGCAGGTCCAGGTCTCGGCGGCTGACCTCTGGGAGCTCCTGTTCACCCTGTCCAGAGAGAAGAGCAAGGGGAGGGGATTCAATAACATTTCTGAAAAAGGCAAGTGGATCCAGGAGAGTGGATCCCAGAGGCATGCCACAGGGCCAGGTTCAAGGAAGCCACTGGGTGCTCAGGTGCCAGGGACAGAGAATAGGGAAATGGAGACAGAAAAGGCAGGACTCTGGGGACAGAGAGAAGTAGATGCAAGGGGGCTGGACCTCAGGCCCTGTGTGCAGGGAACAACTCACCTCAATCCGCAGCATCCGTATGGGCTCTGCCTCCTGGATCGTGATGGCCTCAGGGGGCAGCACAGTGACCAGAATCCTGTCTGGAGGAACAGGGGAGTCACCAGCCTCTCTGCTTCTTTCCAAATTCCCACAGCCGTGCAGTCAGGCAAAAGCATGAACTCTGAAGTCAAGGTAACCTGGATTCTAATCAGACCCAGGCTAATCTCTGGCACCCTGACCCTGGCTACACTGCTTAACCACTGTGAGCCTCACTTTCCTCATCAGTAAAATGGGGAGGCTGGGCGAAATGGCTCATACCTGTAATCCCAACACTTTGGATTGCTTGAGCCCAGGAGTTTGAGGCCAGCCTGGGCAACATAGCGAGAGACTGTCTCTACAAAAAATTTAAAAACTAGCCAGGTGTGGTGGCTCATCCCTGTGGTCCCAGCAACTCTGGAGGCTGAGGTGGAAGGATTGCTTGAGCCCTGGAGGAGGAGGTCAAGGCTGCAGTGATCTATGATCATGATCATAACCAATTTGCAAAACTCCAAAAAAAAAGCCCCCTGGGGGAAAAAAAAAAAAAAGAAAAAAAAAAACAAAAAGGCCAAACAGTGTGGTGGCTTTAAATGTGGTAATCCCAAAAACCCACTTTTTTTTTTTTTTTTTTGGAAGGACCCTTTGAAAAGGGTTGGGTTTTGGATTCACCTTTGAAAGTTCAAAGAAGTTCAAAGAAAACCAGGCCCGGGCCCCCCGCCGGTTGGGGGCTTTTTTTTCCAAAAGCCCCCCCCTGTAAAATCCCAGCAACTTTTTTTTGGAAAGGCCCCGAGACGGGGCGGAAATCAACGAGGTTTCTTTTTCCAAAGGAAGGGAAATCGAGACGCCATCCCCCCCTGGCCCCCTATTTTTAAATTTCGGTGAAACCCCCACAAAAAATCCTCCCCCTTTTACCTAAAAAAAATTTAAAAATAACAAAAAAAAAAAACTTTTAGCCCCGGCGCGAACCCCAAGGCGGGCCAAACCCTGGTAAAGTCCCCAGCCCCCCTTTTTACTTTTTTGCGGAGGCTGAGGCAAGGAAAAAAAGAAAAAAAATGGCGGGTAAACCCGGGGAAAGGCCCGGAAGGCTTTTTTTTGCCCCCAGTGGGAGCTTGCGGAGACACATCCGGCCCAAACTTGCAACCCTTCTCCAAAGCCCTGGGCCAACGAAAAGCGAGACTTTTTCCCCCGTTCTCAAAAAAAATAAAAAAAAAAAAAAAAAAAAAAAGAAGCTTTTTCTTTTTCGAAGGACCCCAAAGCCATGACCAAAACATGGCGAAAAAACCCCCATCCCCTCCCTTAACTAAAAAAATTAAAACAAAAAAAAATTTTTGGAAACTTTTTTTTTCCGCGCGCGCGCTCCCGGAAAAATGCCTAAATAATTTCCAAAGCCGTACTTTTGGGAAGGAGAATTTTGCTTGAAAAATCAGGGAAAAGGCAAAAAAAAAAAGAAAATTTGAAGTTGGAGCCTTTTAAAAAGTGCCAAAACCACTGTGTAATTTTCCAAAGCCTGGGCCCCTAACAAGAAAGTAAAAAATTACTTTCTGTCTTCCCCCTGTCCAAAAAAAAAAAAAAAAAAAAAAAAAAAAAACAAAAAAAAAAAAAAAAAAAGGAAAAAAATTTTTTAACGAAAATCTTTTGGACCTTCAGAGGACTTTTCCCTTTTGTGAGGGTTTTAACTGAATTAGGTTTTTTTTTTACAAAATTTTTTTTACAACACAAAATAAAAACTGCGTACCCCTTGTTTTGGGGGCAAAAAAAAAAACGGTTTTGGGCCTTCAAACGCCCTGTTTTAAAAATCCCAACGCAAAAAAACTTCTTGGGGAAAAGGGACCCGAGGCCGGGCCGGAATTTCTGTCAAAACAACCTTTTTTGAGGTTCCCAAAAGAAGGTTTTTTTTGAAAGAAACCCCAGCCCCTTGGCCCAATGTGGGTGGAAACCCCCCCATCTTTCCAACTAAAAAATATTAAAAAAATCGCTTTTTGGGGCCCGAAATGGGTAAAAAATTATTGGCCCGGCGTTCTGTTTAAAAAAAAAAAATTCCCAAGCTCTTTCTTAGGGAAAAAAGGCTCGGAAAGGCCGGGAGAAAAATTTTGGCCCTTTGCAAAAAAGTTGAGCCAAGGAATTTTTGGGGCACCAACTTGGCAACCCTCCCAGCTGGGGGACCAACGTGGAAGGAACTCCCCTTGTTCCTCAAAAACAAAAAAAAAAAAAAAGGGCCCCCCTCCAAAAAAACCAAAAAGGGCCTGGGCTTTCTTTTAAGCTTCCAAAAAATGGGTAATTTTTCTACAGCCCTCCTTGGGGGCCCTTGCCCTTACTTTGCCTGTTTTCTCACCAGAAAAAAGAAAGGTTCTTTTCTTTTCTTTTTTTGCTTTGACCCTGGCCTTTTTCCTTTGGGCTTTATCTTTTTGTTAAGGGAACCTTCAGAAAAAAACGGGGAATTCTTT